ACAACATACTCACCAGGGTGTTTACTCGTAACAAATTTCAATAAACTAATCGCTTATCTCCACTTGATCACTATAAAATACCGTCCAGCTCGATATAATCGTCCATCATTTCCCCTAAATCCTCCGAATTTATGGTTGTATTTGACTTCCAACTTCTCCCTCCCCCCGAACATTAACCCTTTATGTAAAAAAGTTGGCATACAAAACTTGCCAAACGTCTTCTATCTTAAAATATTCGTTTACAACCACACCTCCGCCCAGTAAACAAGAGGGTTTCGGTCCTACACATACTAGTCACCTGATCTAACTTCGGAAAGGAGTTGTGCGGTTACGCATTCAAAGCTTCCAGAAGACTGATAGATAGAAAGAATGAATGGAAGAGTAATTTTGCTTACTTTCTCATTTGTTCTCATATTGTAGAAGCTGACATTTTCGCAAGCAGTTACAGCACAAGTGGTCGCATCTATCGCACAGATTTCACCATTTGCTGATCCAACACATCCGCAACTTCCGCTATGAATATAGCGGAGATAATCCTTTGTAATACCCATCGTATCTAAAATACGGCAAAGTGCAAAAATGTTACTATCGGACGCTCGTGGCGGTATCCAATGAGCACTCTGAAGCGAGTTTAAGCTATGGCGATATTCGCCCTCAGCTGTTCGTTAGAGGCGTACAAACCCATACTATTTGGGCTTCGAGTCCTTCTATCTTGACTTGATACAGATAAAACTTCAATAACAGCGCACCCTAAGTCCTAGAGAATAAGTTTTACAGAGCCTTTTTGTCAGAGATCTAAGATTCGCGATTTCTGGAAATTTTGAAACAAGATCGAACTGTAATTATTCTTCCAGGCCTCGAGTTCTTCTATCTTTTGATACAGATGGGAATCTAGGTGAATGATGCGACTATATTTAAGATGTCACAGAAAATTCCAAGGCTAACAATTAAGCCGATCCATATCACTTGAAGAATTCGATGCTAAAGCCGTTTATAGAACGCATAAAACTCCAATCTAATATTTAACGGAACAGAACACTAGAAAATTTTACTTCAAAGAACCTCTTCTGCCTCAGCTACACTTTCAAGCGTACTGCCTTACGTCGGGTACCGAAATCACAAGAACCAGTTGAAAATTAAGGAAGTTTAGAGGAACAAGGAAAGATGTAACTGTTAAAATAAAAAAAAACAGCGTGAGAAACATATAACAAATTTTCAGCCCGTGAATGCAGACATTCCACAGCACCGTAATATTGCATTTAAACGGCCGCCAGGGCTATTGAAAGGAATGGAAAATCAGTACGAGTACTCTATTCTTACAGCGACCATACGGTGAAATGAAGTGCAGTGGATACAGGATTTCACGATCGAAATATTTCCTCTGGTGACATAACCCTATTTGAATACATAAAACTCACCCGTCACATATACTACGCATCAAAAGCGTATTGACGCAGTGACTGGTTCTGATGACCAAGCAACCGGGTTAGATGAAAATGTTTTCGCACGAGCTAATCGTCCCACCCACCCAGGTACCTAGGCTTGGTTAGAAAACCACCCCCGGCCAAAGCCGCTCAATAGCGCGCAAAGGGTCGGGTGTGTGGTTCGCACCAAATTTCGCCGCGCAATTTGCCGCGCGCACCCAGAATCGCACGAATCGCCCGTCCCCCAAACAAATGGTGAACATCCTCCGCTCTTCTCTATACAGCGCTAATATAACAATGTTTAAAGTGTTAGACCGAATTCATTTGTTCATATTAAGCTTGGGATCGGTGCCCCCCCCCCCCCCCNTTTTCACCGCCGGGTTACTGTGTTGCGCCCCCGAACATTTCTTACTGCATCCAGAACCCGTAGCCGGATTACAATGAGGGACGGATCCCTATACGGTCGTTTTACTGTTACATGTGAATCCAAGGACCTCAGGGAAACTTTCCACACACGACATACATCGTGAGTTCCTCGCCCGCCAGGAGTGCAGCCCGTTTAGTAAGCGAGCGCGCCCAGCGGAAGGTGCGATCGCTAAGGTCACCTCGTGCTAATACCTCTTGAGTAATAAGAATTTATCTTTAAAACATGAATACAACATGAGCCAATGAGAGGAGCAATAAAGGCCATAAAATATACATAACAAGTGAAAAGCGAAAGAGACTGATGATCGGTAGACAGGAAATTGTCCCAGGTGGAGAACGGTCGTTGGCAGCAGTCCTCGGTCCGTGTAGCCAGTAGACTCCTCAAGCTTCCTCGTCGCCGCCAAGCTACACCCTGAAAGAAGAATCTGAGTCATCAGGGAAACATTCCTAGAATCTTCATATGCTCACGTCCCTTACACCTTTACCTAAAGTCCGATCCGGACTTTTAAGACAACAAAGCCGGCGAAACAGAGAAAGGAACTGAGGAGAAGGTAGAATCTTACCAGGATGAGGAGGAAGGTTCGGGGTGGATACTTTATATGTATCTATTGAGGTCAGCCGTGCGAACGACCGAGTGGAGGGACTCGGCCTAGTCGAGCAGCTGGTTCCACATAGCTAGAGCGCGGAGTTCCTCGGCATAGCCAAATGTAGACTGCCCATGGCGGCAACGTGGAACGGCGACGACGTTGAGACGGCGGTAAACGCTGGGGAAGTCGGTTTCGTCTGGAGAAAAGTTTTTTTTTGTGGTTAAGATAACAACTACCTCTTTTTCTTGTCCCTGGATGGAATCGACGGTCGACAGTTCGACGCCGCGGTCGGTAAGGTCTGCTCGCTGCCGACGGAATTGTTCTCCATAAAAAGTAATGACGCATATCTGAGAGGCTCGAACGCCAGTTTCGATAAGCTGTTTTATGAAATGGGTCGCTAGGTAAGCCTCATCTGGGTTCCAAAAGGATTTGTTATGGGCTCTTATGGATTAGACGAACATCTCTATGAATATGAAAGGAACATCCGAGGAAGGGAGCGCATAAGCGGAAGTAGCAGGCGGCGAGCGGATGCTGGGGTACCGCTAACTGAAGCACCATTGTACGCTATGCGGTTAGGTAACTTGATTAGTGCTAGGTGCGAACGGAGCGTGGTAATCAAGGGGACCACCGAGACGGCCGGAGCTTGTAACAGGAGGCTCATAACACCTCGAGCGCCGTGCAAAATGGGGGTGGACTCCCGGGGGCATTTGGCGTGAGGCGAAAGCTAGTGAACGTAGCCATTGTAAACATGCCATGCGCCCTGTAGGCGGGCAGCAATGGTTAGCATTGCTGGCTCTGGTGTTCGGGAGGCTTCATCACCAATATGACCTTGAAGTTGGAGACATACCGAGAGAATATACCTTCGCTACCAGTGGAGTTAAGCAAAGATGAGGTGGTCAAGCAGAGCACTAAAGACGGGTTCAACGTGAAGAGAATGCGCACCATTCGTTTTATGGTGTGGGAAACAAACCATTGGGCGATTTCGTACTTTTCTTCGCCGTCGTCGGGCATCTCCGGTACGCGATCAGGATTTTCAAGATAGTCCTCAGGTAACTGGCGGCATTACGTGAATAGCTGACATGTTCCGAGATCGTCGGAATCGAGTAAGTTGCTGAACGCGGTCAGCCTTTGAGAACCCTATTAAGATTGACTGGAGTAGGCGTTAAATTACCAGGGACGGCCGCATTAGAAATATCGCGAACGACGTTAAGTTTCGGGAAATCGCTTAAGGAGAGTAGCGTTGCAGCAAAGTGCGCGACCGCTGCGTTCGTCGACGTTGTGACGATGACTGCAGTGTCCGGGGTTTCAGAGGACAGAGCTGCGATCAGCGCGCCAACTAGAGTCTTACCTGTGCCGTATGCTGCCTGGATAGCTACGATTGCTAATTCACCGCTGCCTACGCGCACTGCGTCTTTTTGATCTACAGTAAAAATAACGAAAACGAGAGCAACTCGTAGAGGACTTTTGAGCGAGGCACGAGTTCGCAGTATATGGGATGCTGTCGATTTATCGAGACGGAGAGACATCGAGAACTGTATCAACTCCAATATTCTATACTCCAATATTCAAAAACCGTAAGATCCCTAATGAGGGTATGATGAGACCAACAAAAAGCCTGCAAAATGACCGCGAGAGATCTTTGCGTAGCCATGGCTGTTACCTCAACGATCTTCATACGAACGAGCATCAAAGCGACCAGGAGATCAGCCGCCTCTAGGGTCATATTAAAGATCACGAAACGTAGCCGAACCGGGAGCCATTCGGGTTTTACGACTGTAGTCGTGCCGGAATGGCATTGACGGTCATCATCGGCTGCGTTGATGGCTGCAAGCGCGGAGCATGCAGCGTTGCAAATCTTGCCCAAATTGTATCGAAAAACTTGAGTGTGAAAACAGTAATTGTCAAAGTTCTGAAGACGATCGGACAGCCACGCACGATCGGAGGGAGAGATTCGTGAAACTGACATGGGTAGGATACTTCCTTCAGGAAGCATGGGAGGACCTTGTCCGCGCGAAGAGCGCGGGCTTCCATCGAGATCGGAGGCTCCGGAGAAGCGCATAACGGTTGACACATTTTCTCTGGAAAAAGCAGACACAGTCTGATTGTGGACGATGCTGACGAATAGACGCTTGAGGTGATAGATATGGCCTCGGGACAACCCTCGAACGTAGCAAGAACTGCAGCTACCTCACCATTACGAGTCGGAAGCTAGACGTGAAAGAATGATCATAGAAATAGGGCTGTCCAAGTTGTACGAATGTATACGAATAACTCGAATAGCACCAGAGTAGCCAGACTTCGCCCTTGTCTTCTGCCACGCGATTGTCTGTGTATTTCTTCACCCAAGTTTGAAACCAGGACCACGAGTACAAAGCTTCTTTATCTCCTCAAACTTGGGAAATCAAACCTTGATATAAAATGTATACGTGAGTATATCAGTACCAAAACTATATGATACTGTCGAATTATATGTCATCCAGAGGAGTTATGGATTGTGATATGGCTAAGGATAGACATAGGAGTGAGAATGATATAGGATGACCGAGGTAAAAAATGAGATACAACAAAAGCATGTGAGGTTATATTGATGTATACTGATACACTATTATAGTGAGGTTAAACAAGTCCATGACCTAAAATGGCTACAAAAGAAAACAGTATGTACATAGAAACAAAGTACGTAAAACTAAAAGACAGCGTTATAGGTGTGCCGACGTGTAGGATATGACTGGCTATCCATTCTGTGGGAATCGTGTTGCGAAATACTATGTAGTCACTATATTCACGCGCCTTTTGAATCCCAGTGTTGTGTTGTAGTGTTCACTCGCAGAACCATATCGGAATCGCGAGTATTCGCGATAATGATATCGAAGATGGGTTCAGAACGATGGGACGGGGTTACCAATGCAAAATGTACCACGCGAACGAAGTGAGCTCGCGCGCACAGGGAAGCGGGCTCATTCTCTGCTTCTGTAGGAAAACCGTTAAATCATATATAATTTATCCTAATAACATTAATAATAGACAAACGTGCAACAATAGGAATTAATAAATTACATGATAGCAAACGATCATAGAATATAACAATTACATAGAACCAAACAGAGAATGAGATCAAGGAGAATATATTCGTGGTGTCCAGGGCTTCGCCCCAAAGAGATAGAAAGCCTGGGGCTGCCGTCCTCGGTGGCGAGCTGTAGTCGGCTCCTCGTTTAAGATCTTCTCGGTCGCCGCTCCGCCCTAAAATACCATCATGAGTCATCTTGTAACATTGTCAGCTGATAGCCGCGCTTGCACGGCGCGGCTCACAGCTCCCCCCTTTACCCAAAGTCCGACCGGACTTCAAGAATGTATACCGAAAAAAGAGAAAAAGAAAGTTTCTCTCCGGAAGTTAGAGGGGGCGCTGTAGATATTTGGGTAGGTCATCTGCTGGGACTACCGCTCCGATCGAATCTGCCCTTTGTAATAATGTGTTCCATGTGGGAACCTTACTTAACGACTCGGCATGGCCAAAGACGATCTGCCCATGCCTACAGCGAGAGACGGCTACGTTCAGGCGGCGGTAGTCGTTGAGGAATTCGGCGGTCGCTGGAGAGAAATCAGTTTTGGTAGTAAGCAAAATGACTACCTCCTTCTCTCTCCCCTGTACGGAGTCGTAAGTTTCACGTTCAGGCTGTCCAGGTTGGGTTTGATCTGTCGATATTGTTCTCTATAAAATGTGATGACGCAGATATAACGGGGTGGAATCCCCAGGCGGATAAGGTGCTCAAGGAGCTGCTGGCAGGATTGGGCCTCGCTCTCATTATAATAGGATTTACTGGGCGCCTGGGCTGATTCCCCTTTCACATCAACGAACATAAATGGAATATTGGGCGCAAGGAAAGCATGGTGGTCAAAAGGATCTGACGAGACTACGCTGGGGTACCACTAGCGAGCTGTCCGGCATAAGCTATGCGATTAGGGAGGTCGATGAGGGTCGGATGAGACCTAAAAGTGGTGATAAGTGGGGCCACGGGTACCGCACATGACTGCAACAGGAGGGACTTTACGCTACGCACGCCGTGGAGGACAGGGCTGGAGTTAGGGGGGCATTTGACATGGGGCGCCAATTGGTGGACATCCCCTATATATGTATACGTGGCGAGCGCGGGTTAATTGTCCGGCTATTGCTAGTAACCTTGGCTCCGGAATTTGCGAAGCTTCATCACCGATTACGGTGGTGAATTCGGTCAAATACGGGGTGAATATCCCGCCGGAAGCAATGGAGTTTAAGAGGGACGC